AGTGATTTATATAATTTTAGTTTGTCTAAACCTAAATTTTGTACACCCCAAATGATTAGCCAAAAATCAAAAACAAAAATAAAAAGAATTGAAAAAAATATAGAAAAACGAGAGAGCTGGTAGAACTCTTATTTTACTGTGTTTGATGTCCTAATCCTTGCATCTCAAAAAAATCAGTTTCACCTATTATTTGCTGTTACTCTTTCTCTTTTCCACACTAAGCACAAATCCATTGCTGTTGTCTCGTCATACACTCAGGAAACATTGCTGTTCGTAAACCCCCATCGATGTCACTCAAAACAATTTAGGATCGTTGTACCACTTAGCCAATTTTTCTCTTTCTCATCCCCCCCAAAAAAACTATTTACAAAAAAACACCACCTACCGGATCCTTTTACTAGCAACTTAAATTGGTCAGAAACGAAATAGTCCGATTGCACAGAACCGGGTAAAACCAGTTGCAAATGAACGTCTAACAGTTACGCTATTGCTAAACTGGTAAAGCAATGTATTATGTGACTCGTAAACTGATTAAGGGAAACCAACCAAAGTTGCCCGAAATACCTCCTGAGGATTACATCGAAATTTGTCGTGCAGTTATACTTTGAAGTAATTAAGAGATTGCTAACAGTGAATCACTTTTAATACTTGTTATTATTGTACTTTTCAATTGTAATAATGTAATAAGATTTCTAAAATACGATTTTCAAACCTAGATTTATGAATCACGTGCGATCAACCTAACAAATAATAAAAATGTAAGATTATTTAAAATTGTTTTTCACACCCTCCCACAAAAACAAATAAATAAATAAATGGAGAAAAGTCAAAATAAAAAATACATGAGAAAAAAATTTCTGGCTCCAAAACTGGACGCCTTGTATCAGTAACATTTTAGAGATCACAAACGGAAATGACAACCATACAACCCAGTTGCTTCTTGCTTTTGATAATAACAACAAAAAAAAGTAACTACCCTTGTCATTAAAACCGTTATAATAATTGATAGAAATAATTATGTTCAAAAACAACGACATGAAATATAACTGTACATCGTATAAACACCAACATACATTTGAATCAATAATTAACTTAAAATCTTGAAACTTCAAAATTCCTAGACCACATCTAAAGCAACTGTATTAAAAGCATAACGCACTATTGCTCTCCTAACCCATCCCAAGCCAGAACAAGAAAAATTTTAAGCACAGCCAATCTTTACACAGAAGAGCTGTTCTAAACTTGATATAATAATAAAATCAAGACCAGGAGAATGTTTTAAAATAGATCATATGCAAACAAATCCCTGAAGCACTAACATTGCGGTTAAAATAAGTGATTACGGACTGCTTAATAGACAATCCCTGTCACTCATCACTGAATCTGGCAAACTATAAAAAAAAAAAAAGAATAGCAACGAGGCGATAGCAACAACAAGTACTAATTACGCTATACACCTGTAAAACTTTGAAATGCGAAGCCCTTTCAAAACCCCGCCCAGAACTTTTCAAATGATCTACTGTTGGCTAGCACTCAATTCGTGTCATATGCAAAAGAAGTCACAAACTATCTAAAACTATCAGCTAGCTCAAAAGATCCAGTGAAGTATAATCTGAAAGATCTGAAAGACAAGTTTCCCAAAGCCCCCGGACTTCTTATCACACCTTCAGCCCGGTAGAAATCAGTCAAAATAAATTTCTTCTGACTTCAAAACAAACTGTCTGCCAACTGTATTACGTCCTCTTTGGAGCTGCAAAAAAAACCATATTAATGCCATGATCTACAAGCACATACTTTCAATACTTATTAGACTCTGGCACTGGAGAATTTTTTCAGCTAAAAGCTTGTATTACGGTAGCTGGTTACGAGAGGATTCACAATCAAATTTACTTCTGTTGTAAAGACAACAGCACAGCAAATGGTTGTTCATGACTGACCATGTCTTCATTCGCCACTAGTTGGCAGCAAAGCTTTTTTGACAAAAAACTCTGTTTGATATAAATTCCAACTTAAAGATATTCTGCATATTTTTAAAAATTTTCTCATTAGAAACTGCGTCCTAACTCTAAAACTATTAATTCTATGTGGATTAACTAAATTCAAACTTCTCGTCCCATTGCAAAAAGAAGTGTCTGAAGTTGTCAGTCTCAGAAAATACATCAAACAGGACTAGAAACTTTAAAGATTTAAAGTTCTGAATCAAAAAATCCCACAGAAATATAGATATTAACAAAATTTTTAGAGTGCAAGAAGACGTTTTTTGACTTCCAGTTATATTTCGTCATTATTCTTGAATTCAACCTGTTTCACGATAAAACAGGTCTTGGGCAAATTTGCCTTAAAATGCTAACTTTCAAAAATACAATCACAATATGCAATACAGCCAAAACCCAACGACTAAAAAATAACAAAATGCGAAAAAGTAAAACAAAATACCAAAAAGAAGGTGTGACTCTCGCCCGCCTGAGTTTACGATTTCCTAGTTAGAAACCTCATCTTTCAAAAACTCTCGAAACATCTAACAAATGTAAGAAGTAAACCTATACGAGTCTATAATTAAATTGCCAGGGCAAGCTAGTCTTAATTTCACAGCAGTCCATGATGTAGCATGAAAAAACTAGTTATAAGTAATCTGAGTGAGAAACTTTCTACTCCCATTCGGTTGTACCGGGAGGTTTCGAAGTGAGATCAAGCATGACACGTGAAGTTAAAGGCACATTTTCTCGAATCCTCCGAGCCATTTCTAACACAGTCTGAAAATAACAGCTCAGATTATAACAAAACCTTCTGTCGATAAAATAATATTTTGGATAACAACTTGAGCATTATAACGATCCAAAAAGTGCACAAAAAACTCACCTCTTCGGGAAGATCTCTGCCAGGCAGTGCAGCCAAACCCGTCATAAAATCAGATGTTAAAAACGGTCGTAAAACAAAAGATCTTAGACATGACTGCTTTCTGTCGTTAGGATCCCGATCAAAGTGCACCGGAACCATTACAACCGGCATCTGTAAACAACAGAAATCGGTGTTACAAAAATGTCACAAACGGGGAAACTCATTGGAACTAAAAAACACATGACTCAAATTTTACAACAAATCACTAACTCTTACCGATATAAGCATAAATTAGAGTATTTCTACGTATACCTGTTGTACTTTATCAACACAAACTTCTAGGCTATTATCCCGATTTCCTTTTTCATCTAGACCCTTCATTACTTCAAAAGCTAGACGATCAGCCCACCGCAGCAGTGAGACCGTAAATTCGTTCAGAAAAGTTCGGGTAACGTCGTTCACTGGATGTTCTACCATGTTTCCGAAAACATAAACAACCCTAAAACATAGGAATAAGTAAGCAAATTTGTTCAAATTCTTTAAGAAATCAAAAAAAAAAAAACCTGTTTATTTCATGAAGAAAGCGAGGAATTACACGTGCTAATTTTTCAAGCACATCCCAAGGAATTGGTCGTTCATCTGTTGACAAAGCGGCTACATAAGAATATGTTCTCGAGTCTCCTACAACAAAAAGGTTATTGATTACAAAAAGAACCTAGAAGAAGGCAACCAAATGCATAAAAGATCGGAAACTCATGGAAACCCTGGACGCCAACGGACTGAATAGGAAGCAGTGTGGTCGCAATTTCAGAAGAATGGTTGAATAAAGCAGTCATCTCTGCATCAGTTAAATTTTTTGCTAACTTCTTTTGTAGTCTGGCTTGAGCCTGAATAAAAACTTTAAATGAACAACACAAGCGAAAAAATTGAAATCTTAAAAACACTGAGCCAATCTAACTTCTTCTTCATACTGAGGAAGATTTGCAAACATATGCAAATCCTGCTGCAGAGCTGCATGACGATCCCTATCCTTCAAAATGTACGGGCGTTCAGCGCACAGTATACGAACAGCTAATCCAGGACCTGCAAAAACTTATTTCCGATGAATATGAATAGCCTTTTCCGATTGAAAAAGATTATATATTTTAAACGTTGAAGGTCACCTGGAAATGGATGACGATGTACAATATAATCAGGCAAATTTAATGCTTTGCCCAATTCTCTGACTTCATCTTTATGAAAATCTTTCAAGGGCTCAATTACTTTCCCCTAGAACAAACTACATTTCTTAACCGAACAGACGAATAATAGGTAAAAAGATAAATCTGCTCACTGACATTCTGCTATAAAAATCACATTTTGAAATTTTAAGAATACCGAATCACGAAGCTCCCTCACGAGAGCTGTATCATTGTGATGAGTTTTGATAATATCCGCAAATCCGCTAGCGAGAGCAGATGAGCTCTCAATGAGATCAGGCCGTAATGTGCCCTGGCAAAGAAAAAGATCATCTTTATCAAGTCCCATCTAAAAGCTTTCTGGTTAAACTGCAAGATATGAGTAAGGAAGCAAATCATTTGTACAGTGCTTAGAAGACCATGAAATTTTAATAAAAGAAAAAATCAATCATAAAACACCTCCTCAAGAACTGCATCTTTTACTCTCATAAAGGTGTCCCCAATAATCTTCCGTTTGATTTCAGGATTTGTAGTTTTAGATAAAATAGTAGACTGAAGATCACCTGTCGAAACCGTTCCGTTCAAAAATGCAAAATGCGCGTTGTGTCCTATATAAAAGCAATTAGTGTTAAAATAAAACTGTTCGTAGAAATTCGTACAAAAAGCACTGTACTTCGGACATGAAGACCATTCCTCTGCAAAGCTTCTATAACCTTATCACTTTCTTTGTAACGCATAAAACCGTTATCAATGTGGAGCGCCGTCACTTGATCTTTACCCAACGCTTTGTTCAAAAGTGCAGCGCAAACAGTCGAATCCACACCGCCCGATACCAAAACCTAAGATAACAAAAAACAATTTCTTTTCTAAGATCCTTCTGAGTCTTGTATCATACTACGCGCTGTATATCAAAAAAATTCCAAACTATGAATTTTTTGGGACTAAACAGCAATCCTCCAAAAGTTTGTTACCAAAACGCGCTTGTCACCAACAGTTCGTCTTATTTCGTCAATACAAATTTCTTCTCTATTCCCCAAAGTATAACTTCCTGTACAACCAGCAATTTTCAACAGGAAGTTACGAAAGATTGATCTGCCGTTCAGTGTGAGATCCACCTCTGGGTGGAACTGAACACCATAAATTTTTCTTTCTTCATCAGCAATGCCTAAAATGCAACGATACAAACGAAAAATCCCAATAAATCATACAAAGACAAATTTACAAGATCAACGGCTTCTTACCAGCTACAAAAGATCCGCTTTTTGCAATTACTTTAAAACCATTCGCAACACTATTTTCAGTAACACTATCACCATGTGTAAGAAGCACTTCTTCTTTCTCAGCTAAACCATCAAACAGTTGACAGTTTTTATCAACTCTCACCTAAATAACGCCACAAATAGCAAGATACAAACACTAGAAAGTACTGAAAACAAAAAAAAAAATAAAAATAAAAATTTAATCAAGAACATTTTCTTAATGCCGTCTAAAAATTCCAAAGAAAAAAAAAACCTAACTGTTTTTTGACAGTCTTCACGAATACGTTCTCTAGACACGGTTCCACCAAACGCCTTGTTGATCAACTTAATAAATAACGATACGATTAATAAAATTTCGAAAAAAGTAATACCAAGAAACCCAAAGAACGAGAGAAATAGTACTTGGAAACCATAACATATGCCAAGGACAGGCAAGCCACATGTAAACAGAGAATGATCATATGCTGGTGCTTTTTCATCATAAACAGAATTCGGGCCTCCGGTTATTATGATTGCTCTAAAAAATATTTACTAAACTGTTATGAAATTTACTTCATAAAGAAAGCACTCGTCCGAATGCTAAGAAAATTTAGATGCACCGGATTTATGAAAATACCCACTAACTTGTAATATCCCTTCTCAATCAACTCGCTCGCTTCCGTGCTCAAAGGTAACATATCACTCATAACGTTACACTCACGAACACGTCGATCAATTACCTGATAAAAAAACACTTTAAAAATAAATGAAGACAACAAATATCACCAGCATTTCAGCTAACAAATAAATAGTGTATAAAGTAAAGTAAAACCTCATCAAACACTGTGACACCCCTGAAAGCTATTAAAATATTTGCGGTTACCTTGCCATACTGAGCACCAAAATCAAGTATAGCAACCCGTTCATTTGTTGCAGCTTCTGCTGTGGACTCTCTTCGAAGTCGACGAGCTGTATTTCCATTGGAATTTCCCATTTTACTTGGAATAGTCTCAAAGTCCATTGACCCAGAAGTTTCTGCCGCACTTTCCTGCCTTGCTGTTGTCGGCAAACTGGAGTGACCAACAACTGGAAACTTCGGGAAAATCTAAACAAAGACTATATTTAGAAATTAAAATATAGCTACATAATAGTGATAAGTAATAAAAAGATGTTCAATGAATAAAACTGTCAGTCCTGTATAACAAAACAAATGTCTTGTCAACGCAACTCAAAACGTATTTTCTGAACCAAAAAGAGAAACGATTTTGCAAGCAGTCAAGCATTTCCGCAAGTATGACGCGTACTAAAGTCCTAACAATCAACTTATTTCGTTTTGGACCCCCCATCTTCAAAAATAGAGCACGACAATATATATACGCAAACTAAAGTTAAGAAATTATCCTGATCTGCAACAGTAATATAGTATCCATCCCAAATGCCTCGGATGAACAAGCATCTACAAAAAATATAAGATAATATAAAGTCAAGGATCTTTTCAACTTTGGAATTTACCCTTGCCTTCCAAACTGTATAATTGTTTTTTTCTCATCCTAACCTAATGCCAATTCGTCAGAAAAAAAAAAAGGATTATGCATTAAAAAACGACGCAAGAAACTTTACCATGCTGTGAGCGGTATACTTAACAACAGTCATCTTATTCTTCAGCAACTCAAATTATGAATGAGACCCATCCCCAAAAACTAATCATAACTGAGGCAAAGCAATGCGCTCCAGTTCCAAGATTAAGAAATCCTACTCTCTTCCTTTTTCTTTTTTTTGTAACCAAACTCAAAAATTGAACGATTAACTTAACTGTATTAACTATAAATAAAACGTGACCATGTTTTTACCCCTCCAACTCCCGACCGTTCATAACATCTTTGTTCATCCTCCGTTTAGATCCAATAGGCTAACCTATCTAAAAGTTCTACAACTGTTTGCGAGCAATAAGTAAATTTAGGTAACTTAAGTAAGTGACAGAGCAGATTTTCACAATTAATCGTCCTATGAAATGTAATGTTTAACCAGCCTATGCAAAATTTCTATGTAGCTTTACAAGAACATTTCTATAAAAACCATGAATAGCGTTGTAAGCCTCGAGCCAGTACCATAAATATGTGCTTTTTGACTCAGCAATAGCAATCTCATAAATAAACAAAATGAAAAAAAAAAAGAGAAAAGAGATTAAAAAGTTTGATTTGGGTGGAAAACAGTGGAAATCATAATGCAATACGCCATGCGAACCGCCACATCCGAGTGCCGTTAAAAGCTTCACACGTCTGGAACAATTCCAAGCTGAGCAGCCGCATAATGTTAAGTCCCTTCTACCACGCTGACGTACTCTCGCACTAAGTTACGAACTCAAATGTGAATCCAACCTACAACTACTAATATCTATCCAGGCTATCACTTTGCAGCTCAAACCCATCCTGAAATCTGCTTACGGGCCCAACTCAGTCGTATCAGCGGAAAGAAGACTCAATAAAATTTGCGATGGAAAAGTGCAAGCCAAGCGCTTTTGCGCCCTTTGAAACAAACAAAGCAAGGCATCGCTTAAGACAACTAGAGAAACACGGTAACAAAAGTATAAAAAATACAAAACAAAGCGACAACGCACAAGACAAAAGCGACGTCGCAAAAAATTAAATTTGTGTTTCAGGGCCAAGACACAAGACAGTTCTCAACAATTTCAAATGAAGAGAAATATCATTTGAAGAACTCATACGAGTAATACAACTGAAAACGATACAGACAATGTATTCTCACATAAGGATGGACAGAGAACATAAAGCTAGTGCACGCCCGCGCCTTGCTTTTCCCTCTATACATTCGGCAAAAAAACCTTTACGCTCTTTGTATTTTACACAACTTAAAAGACCAGAGTCACAGAAACCAATCCGACGCCTAACAAACTAAAGTACAGCAGGCAGAATAACAAAAACTTGCATTATAGTGTTGAGCAAAAAATTGAGGATTTTACGAAAACTATTATAACCTGTAGCAAAGCAAGGTGTTAACACCAGTTCAAAACTAAGATCGAACCCTGAGGAAAGCCGCTACCAAAAAATACGCCAAATACCGAATTTAACACAAAAATAGAAAAGTCAAAGGTAACAGTGCCAAAAACCCACTTCATTATGGCCGTTTAAATTAGGTTCCCCATTACACGCCGGAGGTTCGCTTTTTGGTTGGGTCGCGCCTTCTGGTAAAGTTGGAGATGCGCACCTCTTCATCATCAGATCAAAAGAAGAAAAATTCGCGTCCAAATCACGCTGGTCACTAGCGTAAGTACTGGATCCTTCAGTAGGCGGCTGATTTCCCTAGAAAAATTATGTCTGTCTAAGTTCTCCAATAATAGGATATACTAAAGGTAGAAGAACTAACCTTCAAGCAATTGTTAGAACAGAGAGACATTTGACTCGATTATAAAAAACATAAACTACCACCCGGTTTCAGAAGCTCAGAATAAACAATGAGCTATGGAAAGAGAATAAACTGGAGGAAGTTAAACATTAATTTTTGGGGTTACTGAACAGCAATTAAAAAATAAATAAGTAAATAAAACTATATTCAAAAATCCCATACATCTGCAGCTTAAAAATATTCAGGAAAAGGATGAGGCCCTAGTTTCTGTACTAAATGATTCTATTCATAGACAAATCATGCAGCCAAGTCTCCAGTGGGAAGGATCTATTTGTTGCGCAAGCACCACAAACAGAAAGAAGCGGGGAACTGAGATCTTGGCAGCTTGCCACTGTGCGTTACCAAATTTTTGAAAAGTGACCTGTTCAAACGTTTTCTCCTGCACCTGATTCCTGGAAAGACTTCCAAAACCTGTAAACTCAAGACTTCGCTTTCGTAAATCCAAATGTTTGTTAACTCACAAAACTTACATTTTCAGACTTTTTTCGCCAAATAAATAACGTAACCAATCCTTTTTACCCTTAATCC